CAGGGGTGAGCTGACACCACAGCAGTGAGGGGGTTTTCAGCACACCCCAGAGCAGACTCTACTCCAGGTACCGACTGCATCATCATCCAGCCCTGCATGGCAATGGGATCTGCAGGGTCTGGATCCACAGAAATGGTTKTGGGGCAATGATTTTTCTGAGCTTCAGTTAAGCCAAAACCTGATTGTGTCACTGTTTTGGTTTGAAGCTTTATTTCTTCCATTCAAAATGAAGTTAAGAGATGAGTCAGCCCTTCCCTCCAACCCGTGCCCTTGTGTCCCCTGCAGGTTCCCACTCGCAGCCTGAGAGTCAGTGACATAATTTTAATTATTCTGGTGTTTAGTAACTCCTCAGTTGCCTTTGCTAAGTCTGGAGGAGCTCTCACAATTCCCTTCCTGCACGTGCTGCTGTAAGCACAGCAGTTTGGGARCACAGGGCTGCCATTCCCAGCCCCACCAGACACTCCAGGGAGAGAGCAGAGCAAGGAAGAATCCTGCYTCACCCAGGAAAGGGATTTCTCACACCCACATCCCACCCCAAGATCCAGGATGAGATCCTCTACCCCTTCTCCCATGGGGCTTGAATGCAGAAAGCCAAATTCCAACATTTTCCAGGCATTTTGGCWCAGAGGCCTCAATAGGGATAAGCACAGGGATGGAAACAGTGAGTGAARTTATCATTGATGAGAGATTCTAAAAGTTTTTTTGACTTATTCCCTCAGGGGCTTGGCTCTTGGAGGTGCACCTTYCCCAGCAGCCAGGTGGAGAGCTGAGGAATTGAAACAGATTGTGAAAGGAGCAGGCTGCTCACATCAGGGCTCCCCGTCCTCCTTCCTGCCTGCTCATGAATTAAGACTTCAGATTTCATACCTGCACAAAGCATTTTGGTGATTTAATTCCCTCCCACTTTTGTTTTTTTCTTAAAGGTCAACTCATTAGAACTTCCCAGACTCCAAGCAGGATTTCAGCTTAGACCTTCAAGTGCTCTGGACACGCACATTTGTCGTGTTATCAACACAGAAAGAAGAGGAGAAAAAGAAAAGAGTAAAATGTCAATTCTCAGAGTGAGAACAAGTCCTTTGCTTTCATTCAGACCCAGATACTTTTCCACAGCCAAATGCTGCCACTGAAGGAAGCACATGAGAGCGTTTGCTGCCAGGCTGTGCCAGCCACAGCCCCCAGTCAGCACTGGGGGTCTCAGGCCTCAGAACAAACACTGGCAGCTCGTTGAGAAGGGGCTCGTTTGCTGTAATTAATATTCAGCCTTCCTGCAGCATGGGAAACATCGATTGTTCCGTGAGAAATAAATCATGTGCCTTTCTTGGGAGGATTTTAATGAAACCTCCCCTCCTATTTTCCTGACGCTCTCAGGCTCGGGGTAAAAGGGAACAAAAAAAAAGAAAAAAAAAAAAAGAAAAGCAACATTCCAGCATCTCCCCATCAACCCTGCATCGTGTAGTGGCCCAATCAGGCTAATTAGGATGTCTCCTGTGTGCTTTACCCAGCAAATCCAGCCCCACTGTTCATTATATTGCCACAGCACAGCTCATTAGGCCTGGCTTTGGTGGGGAGAGGAGCAGAGCAGCTTTGTRTGCAGCTGGGAAAAGGGCTGAGCCCAGGCAGCTCCTGCCTTTCCCCCTGCTCCTCCACATCTCCTGGTGCTCTGAAGGCTGAGCTGGGCTGTTATTGCTCAAAAAAAAAAAATGATAAAAACCTAAACATGTCGGTGACCCCTTTATCTTCCAACTCACCCTCACATTTACAACAAGAGTTAACCTGGRAACCTTCCTTGTATCTGACCAGCTCTTCCAGGGGGTGTGGGCTCCAAAATGGGATGGCACCTGCATATGAGTGYCCAGGAGGCAATGGCAGCACTGCCCAGGTCACGATGGCACAGGGAACACAGGGAATGGGGACACATGCAGCCTCACACCCTGTGACCCCTCAGCACGGGAGGAAAGCCAGAGCCCACTCTCCTCACTCACCACTGCTTCCTCTGGAATTAATGACTCGGGATTAGAGAAAAGCCAAGCCAAACAAGGTCTGAGTCACTCCAAAAGCTTCTTCTGGCTGCCTGAGAGTGGAGTTTGRCATCTCAGGGCTCTGATTTCATCACCAAAATGAGCTGCTAAGAAGGAAAACTGACAGGTTGCTGTCCTCTAGTTCCTGAGTCTAAAAATTTCAGATGTTTTTTTAGTATTTATGACCCAAACTTCAGATGAAGGCTGGAGACAGGAGAATAATTGGGATCATTTCATCCTTGGAGARTGTAGGCTGTTGTCTGAGGTAAAATCTACAGAACTGCTGAGAAAAGCAGCTGCTTATCTTGAGTGTCCTTTAGCAGAGGAAARGAAACCAGGAGAGAGCAGTGGGTGRCTCAGGAGRCRACAAAGCCACCRGTGACAGAAAAAAGCTGCAGCACCAGGGACCAGGCAGAGCAGCTGAGCCTGGARGTGCCAAAGACAGCACAAAACCTCCGTTCCTCTAATCTCCCCAAACCWCCTCACAGTCCTAATTCCTTAAAATAGACTTATTTCCAGAGCTGCAAAGATCTCAGATGCATCCCTTGGGCTGGGAGAGATGGCCCAGCAGTGAGAGTGTTCAGATGAGTGTGAGATGGGGTGAGTGACAYGCAGCTGATGCACAAAATTGGTCACAAAAAAGAGATTCCAGCAGCCAGCGAGGAGCTGGGGTACCTTAGAGATCTTTCAGCTGTGTTTCTCAGGAGTGTTTAATCCCTTCTTTAAAGAGGAACCATCAATACTGATGAACTGCCACTGTRACAGCTCAGTGCAGAAGCCCAAAAGTTTAATTCTGTAGCTCAGAAGTTAAATTCTGAGTGTTCAAGTGGTAAAGGGACTCCAAGAAAACTGCAGGGGCACTGGGTCTTCCCAGGAATACTTCAACCCTTTGGCTGCTGAGTTAAATKTCAGGACAGGTCCCAAAAGACACCAGATACTTTACAAAGTTCCTATCTAAGCAGCAGGTCATCTTTCAGAACATRTTTTGCAGCCACTGCAAGCTCTGGAGAAATGGGATTAATCAATAGGAACCCTTCATTGCAGCTCCCCTGGGAAAAGCTGTGGGATCAGCTGAACAAAGATTCCTCACCAATGTTCAGGGTCACAAGGAAAACATCCACATCACATTTCTGCCCATAAAGAAGCTGTTGGGTGTTGTGCATCAACTCCACTGCAAAGAAAGCTTTGAAGATGTGTCTCATTTTGGAATAAACAATGATCCCAGAAAACAGCCAGAGAAAAGCTGCTTTATCTCACTGTCCCAACAGCTAGAATGAGGTAACTTCTGAGGATATCAATCAAGTTCTAAGCCAATTCCACAGTTCCTTTGGTCTGCTCCTTTCTCACCTTTATGATGAGCTAGAAAAGGGCTGTGTTACCCAAATTGGGTTTGGGTTGCAAACCCTGCACGGGAGGAATCTGGGATGGCACTGACAATGGTGAGGGGACAAGAGCTGGAATGTGTTTCCATATGCCAACTGGAAAAAGCTGCACAGTTTTCATCAAATAACTGGAAGTGAGATATCTTTAATCAAGATCTGTCGCCAGGGGTGGTGATACAGGCAGTGGGAAGGGAAACAAATATAGGGAAGATTTAAAGACTTGGCAAAGAGAACAGTCAGTGCTGTTTGTGCCACTTGGGGAGTGGAAATAGTCAGAAGTGAGCAGCAGCTCTGGGAGGATTGTTTTAAGCTCCAGAAGGAGCAATGGGAGCTGGACACTCAGAGAGCAGGATAATTTCAGCACCGAGGGAWGAGGAGCCAAATGGAAACAATCTTCTTGTTTTTATGAAAGAAAGAATTTGTGGGGTTTCTTCTTTTTTAATACATCACCTCCAGAAGTTAGCTCCTGCTACTTTTTCTCAGGGAAGAAAACAAAAAAAYGCTCCAAGTAAATTCCAAGTCTTTCAGGCACACTCTGAAAAAAGAATTATTGAGCTGTTTAAAACCAGAGGCAAGTTTTACCAAAATCTATTGCACTCTTGTTGCCTCGTTAGCAGCTCTGTCAGGACAGTTGATTTTGGCTGTTTATGATTCTCCTGTTCAGCTGGCACAGGGGTTTCAATCCAGGCTCCATTCCCTGCTGCCAGAATACCCCACACAGCAAACCAAACCCAACGAAGCACCAAGGGGATGCTGGAAACACAACCTTCCCCACAGAAATGGAACATCTTTCCTGAGCCTGTAAGAGCTTCTGGTCTGCACAATTCCATCCTCGTTCCCTCCCTGACAGACAGAAGCACTTTAACTGCTCAGAGTGGAGSTGAAGAGGGAAGCAGAGCAAAAATACTGCAAAAATTGGGTGCTTGGACTGAATGAGGAATTCATTCTCTGTCCCAGACTTAGGAAAGGTCACTGCACATCTATCTAGCAGCAGTTGCCAGGCTTTTTTGGGCTGAACGTGACAAAGGGACAGCTTCATCCTCCCCTGAGCATCCACCGAGGGCTGGCACACACCTGGCTGTGCCTCCAGCTTCCCACAGGTTTGTTTCCATAACCATTTCCAGAGYCAAGCAGGGACATAATTACAGCAAAACTTCCCTTTTTTCTGGGGATTTATTATTGATGTTTCTATGGCTCCCATCTTCAGCTCGGGCCTCTGAAGTAAGCAGCACTGCAGTGTGCAAATTGAGGGAATTTTCCAATTGCAAACCCACAGCACAAAGGGACTCTGGTTCTCCATATAAAAACATAACTTGCTTTTTATTTATTAAATTTGCGTGGAAGGACAAGTTCTCATTGTGCTGCACAGTTCTCAAATCACCAGCACTTAAAGCACACCAGTCAATAAACCTTTTTTAATTTAAAAGCTGAATGAATTTCCGCTGAACAAATGACTTATACAGTTTTTTGCCCCTATTGCAACGTTGGTTTAAAAAAAAAAAAAATCAACTCCCACACTTGATTTTCTGTGAAGTCAGAAACAGATTTCAGCCTGTTCTGGTGTACAGTAACAGATCAGAATGGAGCAAATCGATACCTTTTGAACGGATTTGCCTGCAGCTGTGCTCACACCTTTGTTTACTTCCTCCAAAATTCTGGGTTTRTTTACTTTGCTTGGATAAGCTGGGCTTATTCTTCTAGGTGTGTACGTAAGAACTGTCCCTGCTGCTCACGCACGGCTGGGTCAATACAAGGGGAGGATTAAACATTATGTTTTATTACSAGCACAACTGTGCACACACAGGCCCATCACACGCTGGCACAGTGTTTAACAAACCTGAAATGCACGTGAAACTGCTCTAAGTGCAGTGATTATTCAGTCACAGGGAGGGCTGTCCACACAGGGGAGGCAGATCTGAGTGGCTGCAGCACAATTATAACCCTACCATTACTGGGGTAATTTCCTAGCAGACACGCCAGACTCCCCCAGCACACAGCACAGCCTCAGAGGCAGAGATCCATAAGCCAATTTACATGGAAAATTAGGAGGTGTCAGAGRAGGCAGAACTAGACAGGTCTCAAGGATATTAATTCCTGCTGCCTTAGCCTCGAGCTTTCAACATATCATTAATTTGAGATCGTTGATGTTCCGCTGTTGTCGATGCTGGGAGAAGAGGGAACGCTTCACTCCTGCTGAGCTKGTGCTGGATGAAAACAAACCAGCAGGTCAGAGCATTCCCAGCCCAGGCACGGTGAGACCCTCACTCCAAAAGGGATCACCCCCAGATTCCCCCAACCCACAGCACCCCAGCACCCCAGCACAGCAGGAAGAGATGCCAAACAACGCTCAAATACTCCCACAAGGAGCTGTTCAGTTCAAAGCTTGCCCAGCACCATCCCCTTCTTATTTTTACTTCCTCTCAGGCTCCCTGAGCCCTGCTGTAGGCACCCAGGRCTGGGCTAACTTTGCTCCCTCCCTCCCTGCCAGCACTGTCAGCCAGTTTGATGCAGAGTGGTGGGGAGAACACCCAGCACCACCCCAGCCTTGCTCACTGTCTTCAAATTTACGATGCATCTGCAAGCAATTTGCTCTGGGACAATGCAGCCCCAATTAATTTGCAGCTGGGTGCAGTTACATCAATCCCAACGTGGGTACGGGATGCCTGCACAGAGCATATTAACCATCCTTTTGGGCAGAGCAGCACGCAGCAGTGAGTCATTTCAGGGGAGAATGGAGCCCCCTTTGGATGYTGTTTGCCATTTTTAGCTCCCCCTAAAGAAAAGCTGGAGTTCACACAAAGCCAGGGCAGCAAGRGCTGTTTCTGCTGGATTTCACAAGCTCAGCTGAGAGGAGCTGGGCTTTGGTCACTCTGCTGCCCTGCAGCCCTCAGCTGAAGTGTCCCCAGGCTGGCTCTGTGTCCCCTGCCAGTGACAGCCCCTGTGCACCCACACAGGGAGCCAGAGCTCTCCTTGCCTGGCTGGGAGCTCCACCAGAAGTGCTGTGCAAGCTCTGCTCAGTGACAAATGCCCCCACCATGCCCCACAGCAGCCTCTGCACATTTCCTGGTTTTCATACAGACACCTGGACGTTGTTTTTCCCCTCCTCTCCTTTCKCCAGCAGCAAAGGCTGGAARCCCAGAGGATCACTGTGTTTTWTTGGTGTCAGACACAGCAATTCCCATGYTGGATCCCCCTTCCTGGCCTTTGGGGCACGATTGCAGTGTCAGCACCTGCCTTGACCCCGTTAATGCCTGCAGACCCCGAGGATTCAGGAACATCACCCTTGACACCAAGCATAACCCAACACCACAGGCAGCATCCTTCCTCCTCCTCAGCACAGGAATTCAGCCTTTCAGGGGCTGCAGGGATCAATGTCAGCGAGCTCCCAGCTCCCCAAACCCCCAGAGGCTCCTGTGGGGTCCCTCCCACTCCCACCCTATAACCACCAGCCATTCTGGGCTCTTTTCCTCCACTCTCAGTGCTCGGTGTGATGGGATTTGAACCCTCTGGCACTTTGACTCTGCCACAACAGGTTCAGCATGGCTGGGGTGTGTGCTGGGCATGACAAAGCTCTCCCCAGCAGCTCWTATAATTCCCTCCACCTCGAGAGGGAAGCTGCCTGTGGAGAAAGAGGCAGCAGCAGCTAAAAATCAAAGCAGACAGCCAGAGCAGGACGAGGACCACATGGCCATGCACGCTGCTGCTGGAGGCAGAGCTGCTCCAGTGCCTTCACACTGAATTCACACCCACCTCGTTAATAAGACCTTTTGAGACAGGCCATGAAATTGCATTAAATTAAATACCAAGACAGACTACCACAGCAGAGGCTCTCCCTCCCCAGGAGCCTGAATGCATTTTAACTCAAAATTAAGAGGACAGGTGAGGGGAAATGTTGTATTTTCCCATTAGCATTTCTCCACTTCTCAGAAGAAACAGCAAGCAACAGCTCCAGAAATTAATTTCTCTTGTGGGTTGGAGTGGAGGAGGAAAAGCAGCCTGGCAGTGCTGCTGTGGACCAGTGGAGGAGGGAGATGGCCTCAGCAGCTATTTCAGCCTTCCAGCTGAAACAGAGACCCTGCCCAATTTTAACCCTGCCCAATTTTAACCTTGCAAGAAAGCAGTGAGCTCTGATCTCTCTGTGGACACCCCAAGCCCCAGCCTGCCAAACCAGCTGTCCCTGCAGTAAGGCACTTCATCCTCCCAAATCTCCACTTCAACCTGCAGCTCTTTCAAGAGACTTAAATTCACTTAAAGCCACAATTAAAGCTCAACCTTTCATGTTCTTTATCCTCAAAAAGCTGCGAAACTGGAAAGTCCTTTGCAGCTGAGCAGGACCAGGTCATCCTGCATTAAAGATTGGGCAACAGAGCTGCGTTTGGGCAGTGGTTAAAGCTAAATATTAATTAGCAGATGCTRAACCCAACCCAGGCCAGCCCCTGGTTGGCTGAGCAGCCACACCAGAAGGATGTGGGCATCTTTCAGCAGCAAGCACCTACTGAGAGCTCTGTGGAAGGACACCTAAATGGTTTAAAATTAAAAGCTCAGTTCATGCTCCAGATGGGGAGAAACACTTTCCTCGAGCCTCATGATTCAGGTGTGAGTCACCAACCCAGCATCCACCAGCACCAAACCTGCCCAGGAACCATTATTGAGGCCCCAGCAGCTCCTCCTTTCACYGTCTGGGTTGCAGGGGCAGGGGTATTTTTAGTGCAGGCGGTGTTTTCTAAACAAGAAGTGACACTTTCCTCCTGATTTATCGGCTGTGGCTGCAGAGCAGGGTGTGTTGTTGTGAGCAGGAGTCCAAAGGGATGAGGCAGAGCAGCGAGGCTTGGAGGAGTTTAGCCTCCAAATTGGTGAAGAAATGCACAATTTCAGGGATGCCCTTTGGTGCTGAGG